TTTTAAACATCAGCATAGAAAATAACTGATTTTAGATACAGTAAGCACAGCACAACTAAAGTAATAAGCATATGGAAGGGTTTAGACAAAATGGCATCTGGGTAAGCACCGACACATACATAGGTGAGAACAGACAGAAGTATCTATAAACCACTCACTACCTTCAAGTGGATTCTGACTCATAACAACTCTATACGGTAGAGTAGAACTGCACCCTCATGTTTAAGGCTGTAAATCTTGATGGGAACAGATAGCTTCACCTTTCGATTGAGCGAGTAGCACAATGTTTAACCCATTTTACCATCTGGAATTCTTGAAATACCTGTGGTGGTGGTGGTGGTTGTGTGCTGCTGAGTCAGTTCTGACTCATAGTGGCCCGTATAGGGTTTCTGAGGCTTTACATCTTTACAGAAGCAGAAAACCTCATCTTTCTCCTACAGAGTGGCTAGTCGAGTCAAACTACTGAGATTGTGGTTAGCAGCCCAGCTCATAATACACTTTGCAACCAGGGCTCCTTGTTGTTGTTAAGTGCCATCGAATCGGTTCTGACTCATAGCAACTCTGTATACAGCTTCCAAGGAGCAACTGGTGGGTATGAATCACCAACCTTGCTTATGAAACTGAACTTAGAGTCCAGTGTATTATCCTGCAATGCCATCTATAGGTATTTGCAAACCCAAAAGGGTACAGATACATATATTCATTGAAGACACAAATAAGAATATTCCTCATAGATAATTTAACACCTTCCACATTTGTTTTCTGGGTTTGAAGGTTTAGTCTCATGGGACAACTCAGTCACCTGGGTAGTTAGTCCTGGGTAGAATGGGTAAAAAAAAAATGGAGACCTCAACTTCTCATTAAAAATTTAAAAGCCAAGGATTATTCCCACCCCCTAGAAACACAGGATAGATAGGGATGGGTAATTTGGACACTGATTACCCAAAATGTGGGGCAACAAAGGCAAAAAGTGACTGGCTTACAAGCTTTCAAGAGGGAGCTTAGATCCAGAGGGTGCAGAGGAAGGTAGAATCTTCACAGAGTA